CGGTTCAATCCCCCAGCACCACATGCCAGCCAGCCCCGCCCCCTGGTGGGCTGAGCTGGCCACACACACACATATAAATAAATAAATAATTAAAAAAAAATAGGGTTTCTGTGAACACAATTAAGTGAAGGATTTTGAGATAAGATCCATTTAGAATTATCTTATTCTTTTTTTGGGGGGGGGGTACTGGGAATTGAATTCACGACTTTACGCTCGCCAGGAAGGCGCTGTGCTGCTGAGCTATATACCTGGCCCAGAGTTAGGATATTTCTTAAACGCAAAGAATGGTAGGCAGGTCACACGAATGTGGGGACAGAGGCTGCAGTGCACTGCTGCCAGGCAAGGAGTGCAGAGGACTGCTAATAGCCACCAGCAGCTACGCAAAGGTAAGGAAAGATCTTCCCTGAGTCATTAAGAGAAGACAACTTTGCAACGCCTTAATTTTAGGCTGTTAGCTCTCAGAACCACAATATAGCCAGTGTGGTGGTACACCCTTGAATCTCAGCATTTGAGAGGCTGGGTTAGGAGGATCACTGGGGGAGAGTAGGGGGCAGCCTGGACTATGGGGGGCAGCCTGGACTATGGAATGAGTTCAAGGCCAATCTGAACAACATAGCAAGATCCCACCTCAGAAAAAAAAGAAAAATAAACTAATAGAATAAATTTCTGTTGTTTTGAACAAAAAACAAATCATAACAATTTGTTACAGTAGCACTAGGAAATTCATACAATGGTTAAGGCCACTGACAAAGCCAGAGATAGGGCTAAGAAAACCGAATTTCTACAATAAGTAAGACTGTAAGAAAGAAAAAAAAAATGTTGGAGGCTGGAGCAGGAGAACTGCCTCCAGTTCAAGCCCAGACTGAACTACACACTGAGACCCGTCTCAAGGGGGGAATGGGAGAAGAAAAAAATCCTATATCCTAAAATAACCTAATATAAATTAATCACACTGTACGCACATCAGCAGAGTATGAAGCAGTTAAGGGCTCTGGGTGTGGCAGAGGCACCTTCCAAGTAGGTTCTGCACATCTGACATCATCAAAATAGAAAAGCCAAAAGCCAAAAACACTGCCCCAAAACTCTGAGCAAACCAAACAAACAAAAAAGTAGGATTCAATTAAATAATACAGACCCACTGGAAATTTGAATACTGACTGGATATTTGATGCTTTTCTTGTTATTGCTGTTGTGGCTGAGAATCAAACCCAGGGGCTCCCTACCACTGAGCTACATCCCAGTCCTTTTTATTTTTTATTTGACGCAAGGCCTTGCTAAGGTGCCCCCACTGGGCTCAAACTTACGTCCTCAGCCTCAGCTTTCTGTGTAGCTGGGATTACCAGCACGTGCTACTACAAATGGCTTTAATAAAACTGTAATAGCGGGGCTGGGAAAGATAGCTCTGGCGCCTGTCTGGCAAGCACAAGGTCCTGACTTTGATCCCTGGTACCAAAACACACACACAAAAAAACTTTAATAGGCTTTTTATAAAGTAAGTATGTATCTCTCAACAGATGCTTGCTGAAATACATATAAATTAAATGACATTAAAAACTTACTCCCAAATAGAAAGTGACAGGCACATGCTTAAACAAAACTGACCATGAGCTGATTAAGTTGATAACTGAAGCTGAGTGATGGATACATATTCATACATTCATAGTTTTACCCTCCTCAGGAGGTAATGCAAATGCATTTGTGTGTGAATAAAAACTCACGTACAAAACTGTTCACAGAAGCACTATATGCAAAGCCTGGAAACAACCCAGATGTCCGTGGATAACCTATGATACTATTATACAATGGTATTTATATAGCAAGTGAAAAAATACAGTCACATACACTAAAGCTGGGCATGGTAACACACACCGATAATCCCAGTCCTTGGGAGGCTAACCTGGGTTACCCATCTAGTAACATCCTGATCCAAAATGTGAATATACTGCACAAAACTACGCGAAAATTGAAATACTTCAGATTATATGAAAAATATATAATACTGTATGTGATTTTATTTACGGGGTCAAAACTTAAAGACAGTTACTTCTGAGAAAAGGTTCTAGCCAGTTCACCAGGTTGTGTATACAGTACCTGGGCCACATCCTATACACCCACGAATACACTGAAAGAAAGACTAGCAGAAGAATTGGAGAGAGCAAGTATCACCAACTTTATTTTCTTTGCTAAGGGGACTTAAAAAATATGGCTAGGGGAGCAGATAATGGAGGGGGCAATATGGGATCAGGAGGACAGAAGTACGAACAGGACAAAAATGTCTTCTTTTAAGGCACAGGAAATGACATGCCTAGACTGGGGGAATCGTGCTGGGTGGCAACACGCGCATCTCTCTAGAATGTCTGAAGCTCCTCGGGGTTGATCCCCAGCCCTGCGAGTGGGGAGGAAAGCACAGAGCTTGTGCTTGTTAAGTGAATGATCCACCAGGAAACCAACACCACACACGCTCTAGGAGAGTGAAGAGCTCCCTCTAGAGCAAAGATGGCGAACCTTTTAGAGATGAGTGCGCAAACTGTGACCCCAAACCTGCTTACTTACTGCAAAGTGTGAACACTGCTATTACACCTAAATACTGGGGGTTTAGTTTAGAAAAAACAACTCATACAACTTGTGATGTCACTGCAGAGAGGGTTCTGCACACTTGCTGTGGCACGCACACAACAGATTCACTAGTGCTCTGGAGCATTAGTCAGGCACGCTGAAGGAGAGCCCAGAGTGCTCTAGAGCAGCAGATGGCAGCCAAGGAAGAAGCGAGAGCTGCGGTCTGTGCGAGCTCCCCTTTGATGATTTTCATTTTCTCAACTAAGCATCAAGCCCATCAGCTAACCGGTGGGAAAGGCCTGAAGGCTTTGAGAAGAGAAACAGAACAGCTGTCTATGAGCACTGTGCAGGAGAACACACACTGTGGGCTCACCATTACATGCTAGTGGAGGTCTGAGGTGGAGCACTACATCTGACAACGGAAATGACTGCAAGTGATGGCACTCTCTATTCAGGGGGAATAAAGGCCGTGGGGACAGTGACGCGCCTGAAAAGGCGGAGAGGAGAGGGAGTGGGACATGGGCCACAGACAGGAAAGCAAGCAGAGGAGGCTCGCAGGTGTGTTCTAACGAAGCTGCTACTTCTGCCTGACGCCCAAGTACCCAAGGGGTCTTCGGTTTCAAGTAACAGTAAGACAGCAACGGCACCATCACAAATGACAGCCAGACATGAGTGCTACTTCTGCAGGGCACAAACATCCCAACAAAGTCAAGCTTGAACCTGATCAAGCCTCTATGTCAGCTTTGTGCAAGAGGGAACCATGTGGCCCTGTGAGCACTTAAGTGTGGCAAGTACAAATGAGGAATACGTTTATGATGGTCTTTATTTTTAATTTTTATGGTGTTGGGGGTTGAACCCTTGGTGCCTGGTGCATGCTAGGCAAGCACTCTACCACTCTACATTCCCAGCCCTACACTTTTCAGCTAAACTCAGAAATGTACGCAGTTCAACTATTGGAAAACACTTCACGGTGCCTGGAATAACTGGCCATGGGAAAGCACTTCCCCCCTGCATAGCTGATGAAATCCAAATCCAAATTAAATGCTTTCTTTTTTTTTTTTTTTTTTAAACATTTATTTATTGTGTGTGTGTGTGTGTGTGTGTGTGTGTGTGTGTCCAGCTCAGCCCACCAGGGGGCGCACCTGGCTGGCATGTGGTGCTGGGGGATCGAACCGCGGTCCCTGTGCTTTGCCAAGCTTGTTCCAAGTAGGTGCTTTAGACCACTGAGCCATCTCTCCAGCCCCCCAAATTAAATGCTTTCGAGGAGAAATAGCTGCAAGTAGTAGTGAAGCATGACAAGGGTGTCTACCAGATTGAAGCTAAGTACAGAAGAGATGAGATTTTCAGCTACCACCACTTTGGAGAACTGTAGGGAAAACAGAATCCCTGAGGAAGAGCCAGGAATAAAGCAAGAAGGCATGGATGATAAAGAAGAGGGCCAGGAATGGTGGTGCACAACTGTAATCCCAATACTTAGGAGGCTGAGGCAGGAAGACTGCTGCAAGTTCAAGGTCAGCCTGCATTACATAATGAGATCCTGCCTCCAAAGTACATACATATATACGCACACAGAAAAGAAAAAGGGGGAGGCAGGCAGAGAACATTTGGACACTGAAATGTGAACAAGACAAGAAATGCCAAAAGAATCTTGGGGAGGCGACAAAAACTAGGAAAGGGGCTGATTCTTTGTCTCCAGCAGTATAAAATTTCAGGACACTGGTGTGGGTTTATTGTATTCCCTGCAAGTACTGTGTTAAGCGTCTCTTTACATCAGGAAACTCATGCCTTTTTGTTCTCGTAATTTTCTTTTCTTTTAAGTACCACGTTTTATTTTTTTTTATGAACTTAGGACAGGATGTACAGGGTGTCACTACATAGATCGGACTCGTAGTGATTCTCCTGTTTTCAGCTTCCCAAAGGGCTGAGATTACGGGCCAGCACACCAGTCTCAATTGCCCTCTCAGCGCACTCCAGGGGGCAGGGCCCCGCACGGTGAGCCAGGGGTCCAACACCGCTATGCACTGCCCTATGCACCGCCAAGGCAGGTGCTTCAGTTCGCTGAGCTATCTGGCGGGCCCATTCTCATAATTTTCTGTTAATTACTTCGTAAATGGTTCTTTTCTACTTTCTGGATCTCTCTCTAGAAACCTTATTACCTAGAGACTAGATATTTTCAACTGGTGTTTTTGTCTTTTCTTTCCTATTTTCTCTGGCTTTTGGCTCTACTTTTCAGATTCCTTATTTTTCAAGCCTTCTACTGTGGTTTTTAATTACTGCTATGATATTCAGGCTCCAAGTGCTTCTCAGTTTGTCTCACCCTCTTCTAAAGAATGGGCCTCTTCCTCCACCCGCTTCTTTCTGTACTTGATCACGAACCCTGCTGTAAGTGTGGCGTCTGACTTAGCCCAACATAAGTAGGCTTAGCCGTCTTCTGCACAGGCAAGGCTGTGGCCACCGCATGTGCCTAGCTGCTTTCTCGCTTCAGACTTTACTGCTACAGTCACTTGCCTTTGGTGCCTCTAATCTTTTTAAGAACACCTAAGTACACTGGGGGTGAGAGGAATTTGGAAGTGCTCAATCTATCTTTTGAATTTGGAAGAGCACAAGAGGGAGAGGAATTTGGAAGTGCTCAATCTATCTTTTATTGAAAAGGCACAGAAAAGATTTACTAGGCATAAAGAAGCACACATTCGTGTGGGTGTGACGGTGCAAGTGAGTATATACCCTCAGCACTCTGTGAGGCTGAGTCAGGAGGACATAAATTTGGCCTAGCCTGGACAATGTAGGGAGTGAGGTGAGACACTGCCTCAAAATTAAAAAGATAAAGAAAAAGGAGTGTAAAAGTCCTGGATTCATTCCCCAGTACCACACATACAAAAAGGTACACATTCAGAAAAAATAAAGAGCATGGGCCACCGAGAGAGAGGCACTTCCATCTGCTATCTTAACTACAAGCTTTGTCTCTGTGTTTTTACTGACAAGGTTTCTTCACCATACTCTGACTTACACCCCCAGCCAATGTTCTTTCAAAGTGCCGTTGTTGTTGTTCTTCCTCTTCCTCCTCCCCCTCTCCCTCCTCCCCCTCCCCCTCCTCTTCCTCCTCATTATCTTTAATGTATTTAGTACAGGGTCTACAGGGTATCACTACCAATTGGACTTGCGGTGATCTTTCCTGTCTTTTGGCCTCCCAAGCGCTGGGATTACAGGCGTGCACCACCACGCCCAGTCTTAATTGCTGTATCAGCGCGCTCCTGGGGCAGGACCGGCCAAGCAGGCCGAGGATAGAAGCCCTATCTACCTAGACAGGTGCTTTAATCCACTGAGCTATCTGGCCAGCCCCAAGTATTCATAATTATTAGACTGGAACTCTGGTCAAAGTTCTGTTTATATGAAAATCCTACTTGTAGTGAGTTTATGCTATGCTTTAACCACTTACCAGTGCAACTACTTAAATACAGGATGACCAAAAATTGTATATGTTTTTAAGTTTTATAACAGGAAATATAAAAACAATACTTTTATTTAATTTATTCAACAATTTTTCTGTGTATATCTTAAAACATTCAATACACAATGCAATGTTACACTCTAGACAGTAGTACTGTCTCAGAATTCTTTCTGTATTATTGTCTTTTTGAACAACACACTTTACACTGTTGTGCTGGCTTTTTCTTTTTTTGCTGTGGGTGGTATAATTTCAACATGTTTATCTATTAAATACAATGGTGAAGATGCTGATGATGGACATCCTGGGTGGCATTTTGTTATCCTGTATTTTTCAATTATTTGGTTTATTAGACCTAATCAAAATCATAAATGTTTTGAATAACAAATGAGTTCCATATTGTTGTGTCTAGAAGGGCACAAATATTTAATATTACTTTTTTCTCACTTTTGATTACAGGATTGCTTGCTAGATACTGGTCAACTCTGTCAGTACCACCCATAGAATTATCACTGATCACTACTGGAATTTGGATTCATTTCTTCTTTCAAGTTCTATCATTTCTGTATTATGAGTATAGTAGCTGACAATAAGATGTCTCTTTTGTCTTCCCATTTCTTTCTTTTTTTTTTTTGGCTCGCTCAGGATGCCTTCAGGGCAGGTCTGGCAAGCCTTGAGGATGTGGGGATTGAGCTACGGCATCTGCTTTGCTTAAGCAATCGCTTAAAGAGCTCAGCTAACAGGTAGGTCCCCTGTCTTTCCATTTCATAACAGACTTTTCTTACATGCCAACTTCGCTCCCTTTTTCAGTTTTCTCTATGGCATATCTTTTGGCACTTTCTTCCTATTCTACCTCACTAACTGAATTGTGTTTGTTTTATTTAAAGATTTTTTTTTAATTTTATTTATTTATTTATGTGTGTGTGTGTGTGTGTGTGTGTGTGGCCAGCTCAGCCCACCAGGGGGCGGGGCTGGCTGGATGTGGTGCTGGGGGATTGAACCGCGGTCCCTGTGCTTTGCTAAGCTTGTTCTAAGTAGGTGCTTTAGACCACTGATCCATCTCACCAGCCCCTTGTGCTTGTTTTATATTGTAAAAGATACCATTGAATTCTGGAGAAATATAGAAATTATATCTAATGCACTTAGGGTAAGAGTTTTTATAGACAGCACAAAATTACAGGTTTTTTTTTTTTCACAAATAAGATAAACACAAATTAGTAGGAAATCTAGTACGAACTTATTAGATATCACACACAAAAGATTTCACTAGAAACAAACAGAAAAGATGCATACAATATTCTAAATAAAAAAGTATGCAGAAAATAGTAAACAGACATATATATGTGTGTGTATGTGTGAGTGTGAGTGTGAGTGTGTGTATCTCATGCAAATAAGAACTGACTGGTTGAAATAACACTTGCTCAAGCGATGCTAGGGGTAGTCGGTACATAACCACAACCGCTGCCTGAGCGAGCCTTGGGGTAGACAGGTAAGTGGGTGATCTTCTGATGCTGGTATCAGCTCAGCTGAGCTACAGAAACTCTGTTTTCTGAAATGTGCTGCTCTCCTCCCACCGCCAGAGTATTTAACAGCACAGAACACACTTTTCTGTAACCCACCGATGGAGAAACTTCCACAGCAACAAGAAAGACCATCTACTACTAGCAGCCTTAATACCCTTGTCCTTAGCAACACTTCACATTGAACGTCAAGAAAAAAATACATGGCACACATTAATGGAACCTCCTGACAAGACTGAAAACTTAATTGCAAGCTACATGGCAGCTGTGATTAAACTTCCACAACTAGCAAGAACTCTGACAGCAGCACAGATGCTTAGGAACCGAAAGCCTCACTAACTTGAAGATTCTTAATTTCTTACACTCTGAGCTGGGCATGACTCTCCCAAACAGTTCTGAGGTCAGCTTGTCTTGGAGGAAATTTCTAAATGCCACAGAGATGGAAGCTTAGGTTGTTTCCAGCACTGGCTACAAGAGCTGACTGCCTATGCCAACTATATCCAGAATGAGAGGTGTCACTGAGCACCTCCAGATCGACTTACCCATCCGTGGCAGGCTTCTTCCGGAGTATGCTTGGCCGGGGGGAAGAGCCCGGGGCAGGGGCATTGGTGTTAGCACTCTGGCTGTGGGTCTGCACCACAGTGGTTGCTGCTGGGGCAGCACTGAATGGACTGCTGATAGGGTTGGCTACAATTGTGGCTCCGTCCGCCAGTACCACGGCTAGAGGAAAAAGAGGTGGCAGGCAAGAACAATGAGCAAAGCGAAAAAGAAACACTACTAAAATGCCACATAAGACATAAATAAAAATTATGAGAATACTGACATTAGGTACACATATTTTAACCATCCCACTTCAAGAGGTAGGAGAGTGGCAAGCTCCAGCTCAGTTAAGACAACTCAGTGAGACTTGTCTCGAAACATAAAAAGGCAGGGGATACGAATCTGTGTGAAGGCCCTGGGCTCAATCCCCTGGACCTGGGGGGAGAACTAACAATGGGGTCTGAGGAGAGCAGTGGCAGAGAACATCGAGCATGCATGAGCCCTTGAATTTAATCTCTATCTTTGAAAGAAAAAAAAAAAGAATAAGGATAGCACTATGGAGATTAGGAAGCCTATTGATATAAACTGACAAAAATGACACTTTTTCTTTGCTCTATAATCAGTTATTAATAAAACACAAAGTACATAGGGCATATAGCAAAGTATCTCCCTATTTTTCATTTACATATTTCTTATGCTTATTACTAGCCCTATTCTAGAAATAGGAGACTAAAAGTCTACTAAAAAGAAGACCAACAAATAGCACAAGCCGCTGGCTTGATAGCACATTCTGCAGTACCCTTACAAGAGGGCTAATGCAGTTTTTGGAAAACATGACTCCCTTCATTCACTAAGAATGGCACCCCCCTCTAGTCTATCTTCAGGGAGACATTCATCCAACAGATATTTTAATTACATAAAGTTAGCCTCAAAATACTGGCAACCGTAATAATGAACTAATCATCCTGACAGTTTTTGACCTATAAAAACAGCAATTTCATAATAGTCAATTCAAAACAAATTTCTTAGCAGTTCCTATTATAGATGTAAGTGTACCATCATTCCAACTGGGATACTATGGGCAAACTGCATCTTTATCATAGTCATCTAGTAACTAGAGTCTAAGAAGAATCTGATTAAACAAATTCAAGATCTATACAGCACACCAAATGGTGTGGTGCACACTTATAATTCTAGCACTCTGGGAGGCTTTCACAGGAGCATCAAATGTTCACAAACAGCTCGAGCAACTTAGTGAGACCTTATCTCAAAACAAAAATAAAAATAAGAAAAGGGGAGGAAGGGGATACAGGTCAAAGGGCTTAAAGGTAACAAGCAAACACAACACAGTAATTAAAATTCTCACGGATTTTTTTGCATTTTAGTAAGGGATTACAGGGTGTCACTACATAGACTGGGCCTGTAGTGATTCGCCTGTGTTCAGTCTCCCAAGAGCTGGGATTACAGGAGTGCCACCACGCCCAGTCTCAACTGCCATCTCAGCATGACCCAGGGGTGGGCCAGCAAGGCAGGCCAGGGATCAAACCTCTGACCCCTGCGTCTGCCTAAGCAGGCACTTTAATCTACTGAGCTATTTGGCTGGCCCTAAAATTCTTAGTTTTAGGCCAAAGATATAACTCAATGGTAGGCTACTTGCTTAGCATATGCTAAAATCTAGATTTGGTACCCAGCACTGCAAAAACAACAACTAAAAGCAAAACACGATAAAACAAAATTTACTTTCAAGTTAATTTATTCATTTTATAGTTGAAGTAAAAGATACATTTATACTTTTATTTTTGAGACATTTCTGGCTCAGCCTCACTTAGTGCTTGGATTACAGGCATGTGCCACCTTAATGGCCAGCTGTACAAGATAATCTTTAAGATCAATACTCTGGAATGAGAAAGAATTTTTCTTTAACATGTGTATGACATGGCCATAATTTTTTGTCTGCTGCCGGGGGGCTTTGATTTGAATAGTTCTCCTACCAGCTTGAACCACCGGTGGTACATGCATGACTATCTGAAAACATGGATGCCACTGGGGCGGCAAAAAAAGGCCAAGCAGGCTGGGGGAGATAGTCCAGCAGTCTAAGGGCCTGCCTGGCAAGTGCAAGGACCCGAGTTCTACACCTAGTACCGCATGCTGTTTTGGCCCCCAAAATGGGTGTGGTGGCGAGCCCCTGTAACTCCAGTTTGGGATGTTGAAACAGGAGGATCACTCCAAGTCCCAACTGTGCAGAGAGACCCTGTACCAAATAGAAACATACATACACACATAAATGTATGTTTGAAAAAAATATATAAAATGGCTTAAAAAAAAAGGCCAAGCATGTTACATTTTGCTTGCTCTGCAAAAATTTGCTGCCTTTATGGATAAAATGTTTCTTAAAAAATTCATTAGTATAATAAATTTCTTTTAGTTTAATAAAATAAAATTTGCTAATTAATTTAATAATTAAATTGGTATTAAACTGTTAATTTGTATTTAGGCTATAAATATTCTTTTTTAAAATTAATTTTATTGACAAATAGCAATGAGACAGTTTCCAAATCAATTAGTTGGACAGTTTCAATAATTAATACATTGCATATTGTTGTCTTCGTAGTGGTTATTCATAGTACAAGATGCAGACATGATATTCTGTCCAAACACTTGTAGTACAAATCTTTCTTCTCATTGAATTAAGAGAAAGTAGCTATAGATCTATCTGTATATACAGATTCTGTTCTGCATATACAGATACGAAATGGTCCTTCACTTATAGCCCCTTTTTTTGTTTAGTTTTGTCAGAGATGGGTATTCCATTGCCATTTAAATATTGTAGGTGCATGAATTCAGCAAAATATTCCAATATAGTCCAGTAGTCCGTAATAGTAGTGAGTTATCCGTAGGACTGGCAATGTCCGAAGTTGATGACTTGAGCCTTTTACAACTCAGCATAAACATTCAAATTCAAGCAACTATCTGGTCTGGTCCAATTACAGATTTTATTCATTTTATTAGCATAAGGATTGATAAAAATGATTAGATCCACCTGTACCACCAGCAGTAAAAGCCCTCAATGGGACAGTCATGCACGTACAAACCAGTGAGAACATACTAAGCACCTCAGAGAAATAGCTAATTAACTAACACTCCAAGCACAGGGCCATATTCCATTTTATAAAATATCTATTCTACTAGTTCACTACGATTCTTTGCAGACACTGAAATACGAGCTACCATTAGTGTAAAATTTTACAGCTTTACATACAAATCTGAAAATAATCATAAAATTAATGAAAATACTACTAATAAGCTAAATTTGTCCCTTCAACTAAGTGTTTTACAGACTTTTTCACAACACGTAAATATGTATTAGGCTGTCTGTATGTTATTTTCAACATTTACAAAGAAAGGTTAGTTTTAAGCAACTCATGTTACAGAACAAAGGCCTAGAGAAATGACCAGAGACCACAAAGCCAGCAAGTCACAGCGCCAGGATTAAACCCAGACATACTTCTTTTCTGCATATCACCTTCTATGCAAACACTTAAATTTACTTGAAGTAAACAGCTCAGCCAGGGAAATAGCTCAGCAGCACAAGCACCTGCCTGGCAAATGCAAGGTCCTAAGTTCGGTCCCTGGTTCCACAAAAAAAAATTTACCTGAAGTCTTTCCTTCAGGTTGTGGTTGCGGAGTACCCATTGGTGCAGGCTGAAGTCCTTGAGTGCTGATTGGAGCCGCTGAGTGGATTCCCTGTGTGCCAATTGGTGCTGGCTGTATCCCTGGAGTTCCGATGGGTGCTGGCTGGATCCCCTGTGTACTGATGGGTGCAGGCTGGATCCCCTGGATATGTCGCGCATGCGACGCATCGACTGTCATCAACTGCATGGGGTTCAGATGGACTGTAGATGCGACCCCAACACCAGTCTGAGCTGTGATGGCGGAGTTTGGAGCCTGAGCTGAAACTAAAAATCAGGTGGAAGGTGACTACCAGAAGGTCAGTTCTGATTAGGCAGGCCCATAAAAAGATGAAGCACTACAGAAAAGTTTTATACTGTACAATATCTAAATCCTTAGTAAAAAAAAACAAATCACAGCTACTTGAAACTATTTTTTCTTTTCACTTCCTACTGTGATATAGTCTTTCTGGAAATAGGTGTAGTGGCATATGCTTATAGCCCCAGAAGGAGAGGCAGGAGGATCACTGGAGCCCGCAAGTTTGAGATCAGTAGATCCCATCTCAGGAAATAACCCCCCACACGATTGAAACAGGAAAAAATATTAAATTGCAAAGTTAACCAGTCAGCTGTACTGACTAGTTACTACAAAATAATTACAATCAAACCTCTGGGTCCCAGCTTAAGAATTTTTGCTTTAACTAATAGAGCCACTTTCATAAGAACTTCTGAAATACAGCAGTCATGAATTTTAAATGACTTATACCCACCGGAAAGAGAACAAGCAAACATTCTTTTTCCCATAATGCAAAATGTATATTAACACCAAAAAAGCATTCCCAGAAAGCAACAAATAGAGGTTTTCATTATTTCAAATATAAAAAATTATTCTCATCAGTCATCAGAATGAAAGATAGAAGAATCTGTTCCAAAAGATTCCAAATGCTGTTCAAGGTCTGGAATGAATCAATCTCTAACTAACTAACATTTTGACACAGGATTTCATAGTGAATTTCAAACTGGCTTTGAACTCACTTTATACACCAGGCTAGCTTCAAACTCACAGGGATCCTCCTGCCTCAGCCTCCCAAGTGCTAGGATTACAGGCGTGTGCCACTACATCCATCAAAGTCTGAAATTTTAGACTAACACTGTCCAAAGGAAATATAAAGTAACCTGTAATTAAATGTTTTCCAGTAGCCTCATAAAAATAAATCAAAACAGGTCAAATTAATCTTAAGAAATTTTATGTAACCCAATATATCCAAGTTACCTTTATTTTTTTTTTTAAAAATGTATTTATTTATTTGTGTGTGTGTGGCCAGCTCAGCCCACCAGGGGGCGGGGCTGGCTGGCATGTGGTGCTGGGGGATCGAACCGCAGTCCCTGTGCTTTGTTAAGCTTGTTCTAAGTAGGTGCTTTAGACCACTGAGCCATCTCACCAGCTCCCCAAGTTACCTTTAAAATTAACATAAAATTAGTAAGATATTTTTCATTCTCTTTACTGTATACACATCTCAATTCAGAAACTAAATTTTCTAATTAGAAAAATTTACCTTATTCATAAAATATATTAAAGTATCAAATACATTTGAAACTTTTCTACTTTTAACTAAATAAAACATTGCTTTTTATTTGCTTTTTTTTTTTTTTTTTGAGATAGGGTCTTACTATAATTCAGGCTGGACTTAAATTCACTATGAGCCTAGGCTGGCCTCAAGCTCACAGCAATCCTCCTTCCTCAGCCTCCTGAGTGCTGGGAGTACAGGTGGGCGCTACCAAGCCCAGCTCTCAGTTTTTCATTTGTACTCCCCATCTTCAAGTGATCCCCTGCATGTACAGCTCTGGTTACTAGAGTGCAAGGTCTATTGACCAGACACTCAGGTTTTCTGAGTTCTAAAGTGAGCCAAGGGCCCCACAAGAAAAGCTCATAGAAACTCGGATTTAGAGATTTTTTTTTATCTGGAGGATTATCAAAAATCAATTAGGTTCTTAGGTATGAATATTCCTCTACTAAAACTAAAAATGTAACAAATATTCCACAAACAACAAGGTCTGCGAAAGCTTTTGAACTATTGTTCTAAGATAATAACATGATTATCTTATAGCAAATCTTTAAAGCATTTTATTTAATGTATTTGGTACAGGGTCTCACTATGCAGCTCGGACTCATAGTGATCCTGTTTTCAGCCTCCCCAGTGCTGGGATTACAGGCGCGCGCTACCACGCCTGGTCTCGGTGACTGGCTCAGTGTGCCTGGGGGCGGAGAATGTGGAACATGACTATCCTGAAGGCGGGATAAAATATGCAAATATGAATAAGTAACAACCTTTACACAGATCACAAAGATGGAATTAAAGACCTCAAAGCTTCACACTTAAGCCTTATCTGAATTTGGAAATAAAAGGCGGAATAAGTAAATCCCATACTGTAACTCCTGACTTATTTTTCATTACTGGAAACAAATGAAAATGTAAAGTCATCTTAAAATTGGGCTCATACCTGGGTACTGTCGAATAGTGGACACAGAACTGGTAATTGGGGTGTAGGTGTGTGCGGCCAGGGGGTATGCAGAGGGTGGGTAAGTTGGCAAAAAGTACTGAAACTGAACAGGAACGGATGGTCTAGGGATAGAGCACATAACATATGAAACAAAGAGGTTATTTTTTTCTTCATCTTCAAATGATCCTGTCACCTAGACCTGTCCCTTTATAACTAGCATACCAGCTTCTCCCAAATTGTGGTCCAACTTCTTAGATCAAGGAACATACACCTAGAGTACAAGCATGTAAAAAATAAGTTACTAAAAATACCGATGTCAAGAAATGTAGCAACACAGCTACATATTTTATTGATTTTTGAGACTAGCAACGAGCAAAAGTGACTCTCCCAAATCCAATAATCAAGAATATTTCAGCAGGGGCTGGGGAGGTTGTGAGTTCGATTCCCAGTACCAAAACAAAACAAAAACAAAAACTCCAAAACAAAACAAAAATTCAGCAACTCCCAGCACTCAGGAAGCTGAGGCAGGAGTATTACTCAGTTCAAGACCATCCTGGACTACGAAGTGAGCTCAAGCCCAGCCTGAGCTACAGAGCAAGCTCTTGTCTCAAAAAGACAAAACAAAACAAAACAAAAAAAGGTATTTAAGCAATGTATTCCAGATCCTTTCTGTCTCATTCCTGGTCTCCAATAATTTCCCTAGTCTTATAATTAAAAAAAGATTTAAAAAATTTTTTCTTATTCTAAAAAAAAAGTATTTCCTGCTCAATCCCACTTGGAAGAATGTTTTTACTGGCAAATTTTATCAAACACAAATAAGAGATAATCCCAATCTCATAAAAACTAACTCAGAGACCACAAAAAGAAATGAGATCTGACTTATTTTTTGAGCTTTATATAGTCTTGACATGAAAAGTGGACAAAGGCAGTAAAGTACACATCTAAGCCTTATCTGAATCTAGGAATACAAGACAGAATAATTAAATCCCATCACTGGGAATACCCCCTGCTTAATTTTTCATTGTTGGAAAAATGAAAATGTAAAACAGGATCTAGTCCCGTATCATGATACAAAAATTCCTAAATAACTTAACTACATCTCTTATAAAATTAAATGCATAATGATCAAATAATGTCTATCATGGGAAGACAGGATTGATTCATGATCAGAATTTCTATTATTTTATCTATTTGAAAAAATCCAAATACAATAATCACTTGAAATGCTACAAAAGATATATAAAATGTGTGACAGCATTTGTATTATTCATGACATAAATGCCAAGAAAACAGAACAGGAAGAAATCTTATTACTTAAACCAAAAGAGTGTCTAATAAAATTTGTAATAAAATTTCAGAATAACTTCCATTCAAGTCAGGAATAGGATAAAAAGGCCCACTACCTCAGCTCTATTAACACTGTATTGCCAATATTACAAAGGGGGAAAAACAAGGTTATAAAAAAAGAAAATGAGGGGTTGGGGAGACAGCCCGGCAGTCTAAGTGCCTGCCTGGCAAGCACAAGGACCTGGCTTCGATCCCTGGTACCACATGCTGTGCCGGCCACGGTGGCGCACACCTGTAATCCCAGCGCTGGGGAGGCTGAGACAGGAGGATCACCAGGAGTCTGAGCTGTGTATTGAGACTCTGTACCAAATAAATAAAGAAAAGATTAAAAACAAAAATTAAAATGAAAATGAAAAGACTGTCTTTCCCACATACAAAAAACTATCCTTATTTATAGATAAATGTCTACATAAAAAATCTAAAATAATATATGAACTTTTAGAGGTAGTGTTCAGAAAGGTAGATGGATCCAAAATCAATACAAAATCTATGAACATTCCTATATACAATAGTAATCAACTAGGAGTGTTTAAAAATCATCAAATTCTGACACACCTTTATATACAATGTACAGCATTCTTGCCAGAGGAGGAAGAGGAGGAGGAGGAGGAAGAGGGGGAGGAGGAGGAGGAGGAGGAAGAGGAGGAGGGAAAGGAAAAGGAGGAGGAGCAAGAGGATACAAATATGGAATGGGGGAAGGATTGAGGTGGAACTAGAACTACCAGCATGTATATCAGTGTTTGAAAAGCCTCACCTACTTCCTACCTTTGACTGCTAAAAGGCCAAGAACAGTAACAATCCAAAGTAAAAGACCTAATGCCTAGATGTTGGCTTCTAAATAATGAAGAAACAATCTTAGGAAAACAGCAGATTGCATTACTAAGTAAGACCTGAACTATTGTGTGGTAGAAAATAAGAAATAGGACTAGCCAGATAGCTCAGCGGACTAAAGTGCCTGCTTTGGCAGAGCGCAGCTGCTGGGGTTCGATCCCTGCAATGCTGCGCTGGCGGCCCTGTCCCTGGCGCCTGCTGAGACAAGATTAAGACTGGGCGTGGTGGTGCACACCTGTAATCCCAGGGATCGGGAGGCTGAAAACAGGAAGATCACTAGGAGTCTGATCTAGGTAGTTAAGACCCTGTAGACCCTGTCCTAAATTCATTAAAAAGAAAAAAAAGAAAGAAAGAAAAAGAAAATAAGAAACAGTTGAGCATGCTAGTGCACACCTGTAATCCCAGCTCTTGGGAGACTGAGCAAGAGGAATATGGCTAATTTGAGGGAAGTTCAAGGCCAACCTGAACTATATAGTGAGACCCTGTCTCAAGGAGAAAAAAAAAAAAAGAGAAAGAGGAAAAAATAATTTTAAAAATTCACCACTTTACAACTATATTAATAAATTCAGCTAAGAATCATTAATACTCAAAACTGAGTTTATTGAAAAACAATTCACCTCTGACAGGACAAAAAAAAAAAAAAAAAAAAAAAAAACGATACAAAGGAAAGATCATTTTGTATTTATATATACAAAATAGGATAAATTTACAGCTACTTTCGTTTAACTCAAAGAGAAGAAAGAGGTGTACTAACAGTGTTTAGACAGAATATCCTGTCTGCTTCTTATACTATGGATAACCACTAAGAAGATAACAATGTACAGTGTACTATCAAAACTGTCCTGTTAATTAGCTGTGAAACTGTCTCATTCATATTTATTTCCCAATAAAAAAATAAATATATTAAAAAAAAAAGAAAAACAAGATTTTCACAGCCTCAAGGTAGTTCTATGTGAATTATTTGCTTATAAGGAGGAAAATATGCCTCTACAGAAGAAACACAGGCAGAGATCATCTTCATAAGTAATTAATATAACCAATAATGGGGCAAACGGATAATACTAACTCTGATATAGAAACGGTGAGATCATGTAAGTGATAATCTTTCCAAAATGTATAACCTAAACCTAACCATTAAAAAAGCGACAAAACCAAAGAAGAATATTTTACCAAACAACTGTTATATATGTAACTTTTGAAAAAAAGATCCTGGGACTGAACCTGGCCTTGTTGTTCTGAGGCAGGGTCTTGCTAAATTGCCTAGGCTGTGCTAGAACTTACAATTTGTCTGTTTCACCCTCCCAGAGTCCTGGGATTATAAGCATGTACCGCCATACCCAGCTTGACCTAAATATACACTTAAAAAACGGGGGCCACGGATATAGCTCAGTGGCATGGTGCCTGCCTGGCAAGTGTGAGGCTCTGAATAGATTAGAATGGAAGGTAAAGAAAGAATTATTTCAGCTACCTGTACCTGTTCTCAAGGAAGACAATGCCTGGCTCTGAGGCAACACAATCGGAGGTACGCACAGCAAGATGCTTCAACCCTGACTTCAAATTGCTCACGAAAACCGGTACAAAACGGATCAGGAGAACACCCATCAAAATGAGAATGGCTGAGCAGTAAGACATATTTCCCAATGTTCAAAAGGGGCGTGGGAACAAGAGAGAGAGCAGGAGGAAAGGAAAGGGCAAAGTAAAGTGAGAACAGAAGGAAAAACATGGAAATAAACCTTTTGTATACGGGATGGGGAGGAGGGGGTAAGGGAGAGGAATAGGGACAAAACAAAGGTATAAAAAATAAACATGAAAAAATATAAAAAAGAAGTTATATCATGTACAAGGGCAGATTCTCTATAATGAATGTGATCATTATGTACACCTACAATGTACCAATAAAATCTGATTAAAAATAATCCTTGAGTGGGGCTAAATTTATAATATTCTTAATACATAAACAGAATTATGTTAATAAATATTTAGACAAAGAAATGTAAAAATAAATAAGTAAATCAAAAACAAAACAAGTCCCCCCAAGCCCCACACTTCCCTAACACTAAAATAGAAATTATGTAGTAAGTCATTTTCAGGGTGAAAATTAAAAAATATAAATAACCACATATCACAGTTGTAGGACGTTTTGTTTTCCTGAAAAGCCCAACTAATTAATAACACACTGGTGCCGGCGACTGGGCGCGCTGACTCCTACCTGCTGTCACTCCGGGTCTCCATGGCCACGGGGTTTGGAGAGGCCCGGTGTCCTGAGATGGGAATCAGGCTGCTCCTCTCTGCAGGGTACTCAGGCTGGATCCTTGGAGACGTGTGTGTGATCTGCTGAGGCACCACCTTAGCTACCAACATTCAAGCCCACACAATTAGCAAGCACATGTCTTTACTGGGATGCCAAAATATTTCCGGCTAACAGCAATCTTTTTTTTCTTTTTTCTGAGACAGAGTCTCACTATGGAGTTCAGTCTGGCTTTGAGCTCACTTGGTAGCCCAGGCTGGTTGCTAATTTGACCTTCCTGCCTCAGCCTCCCAAGTGCTGAGGTTACAGGATGCACCACCATGCCTCGCTTCTAACAGCAATTTCACAAATGCAAACAAGTTACATGCTCAGATTTTTAGCTTTAATCAAAATAACTGAAAGATGAGTACAAAAGATTCAACTTAGTTATTTCAGTCCAATAATCCACTGAATATATTCATATTATTATTTGTTAAAACTTGGGTAATAATTATTATAAAATATCAGCACTAGACCCTTTTTTCTCAATCTAGCATCTTGAAAGGCCCCCTGTTTTAAAAGGGAGTAAACTAGCCGGGCGTGGTGGTGCACACCTGTGATCCCAGCACTCAGGAGGCTGAGGCAGGAGAATCGTTTTGAGTTTAAGACCAGCCTGGGCTAGAAAGGGAGTTCAAAGCCAACCTGAAATGCATAGAAATACTCTGTCTCAAAAAGACAAAGAAAAAGAAAAAAGGTGGGGGAGTAAACTTTTTTTAAAGAAGGTAGCAAAGTTTTTTTAACGGTAGGAGTAGAAACAGGCACTGCAGAGTGAGTTTTTGGTCAAGTAAATGTAGGAAAAGATGCGCATCTACAGCATGAGGGTGGGCTACCATGCCAAAGTGAACAGAGTGGACAAATGGGAGTAAGCTCTAAAATATAAAAAATCAACAAATTTTTAGATGGAAAAACGGCAGACTTTACATTCTACACCAGAGTCAGCGCCCCCAGTCCCCGCCATTAGGAAAAGTCATTGAGCTGATTTTAAAATATCCCATATTACATTAATTTGAACATCAATGCTCTGGGTTATATTGGGTTTCTTTCTCGACATAAGGACGTTTTGCAAGGAATCCCAATATGATGAAATATTTGGATTACTGTGCAAACACCAAAACTAGGAAGAGCAGGGAACAACCCGCTCAGGTCCCCCTCCTGTTCCCCTCTTAGATAGGAGCTTTCTTTTCCTCAATAAATACATTCTGCTCATAAGAAGAAGAAAAAAAAAAAAAAAAAAACTAGGAAGAGCATCACCTACTGAAATCTAGGAGTGAACACTTTCTGTCTCTTGGGACTGAAGATGAGGGCTTACTTTCAGGGTGATCTGTTAGGAAGACAGCAACACTAATAACACCTCTTTAAAACAATTCTCTGCCATGGAGGTGGTCAGAGGGAATCAACCACCACCCTCAGGCACAGCATTCTCTTTACTGGGGTGAGTTGCTTGGTAGTTGCAGATTCCCAAATAATGTTCCTGACTACCTGTTATGGCACTGAGGACAACTAGTGACAGTACTGGGTAAAGCCAGAGAACGGTCTGAATGACAATTCCAAACAATCAAGTCTTTTCCAACAAAAGTGCACGAAGGCTAAGGCAACACATATTCACATATAACAAACTTGCTTTCATAAAAATGAATTTTAAGAGTAAGAGACAAGTTTGGCCAATCCACTGTCCAGTCACAGCGAGGAGGCCGCCAGCAGGTTCTCTCTGAAGTCCTTTCGTGGGGTTAAGCACATAGGCTAGAGTGTGGCTCTGCTTACCTAGATGGAGACTCTCTGCTTGGACCACTATTCCAGAAAAGTGTCCTTAAGGATCATGAGGGGGCTGGGAAGTCATAACTTTCTTACGTGTACAAGAAGGAAGGGACTTGTAAGCTATGCATGTAGGTCAGGTCATCAAACTTCTGACAGTTTGGTTTGTTTGTGTGTGTAAAAAAAAAGGGGGTGGGGTAGGGTGGGGTGGGGAGATGGCTCAGTGGAGTAAGCGCTTCCCTGGCAAGTGTAAGGGCCTGAGTTCAATCCCCAGTTCTGCCAAAAAAAAAAAAAGCCTTACTTCTAAAACCACATTGTTAAAAATAGGGCAGCTACCTCATGTCTTTGGGAGCAGAGAAGAGTAAGATAGCGTACTCGTCATTACAGAATCAAGTCAGGGAAAAAGACACTAAAGGCGCGTGGCCTGAGTCCATGAGAGCTGTTTCTGCCTCTCGGCCTCAGACTTTGCTTGGATGTGGCAGAAGCAAGGCATCAGCTCCTATAAAGCTGATGGTAATCCATCATCTGTTGGCCTGTGCACTAGGAATGGGTTTACACTTTGAAATGGTTAAAGGGAAAAAATCTCGAGTGTTTTACGAACTGTGAAAATGATACGACAGCTAATTTTCTCTGTCCATGAGTAAAGTCTGATTGGAAAACAGGCACACTCGTTTATGCACAGTCAACGGCTGCTACCACTAAACAAAAAGCAGGGTGGAGCAGTTGTGACAGACCTAAAATGTTTACAGTCTGGCTTTCTAGAAAAAGTTTACCAGTCACAGCCAATTGAGGACTAATGTTCAACTGCAAAACCCCGAAAGATTCACTACTTGAAGAACGCACGTAGCCAGGCGTGGTGGTGCATGCCTGTAATCACCTCATCCTGGGAAGGGTGAGGCACGAAGACTTCAAGTTCAAGGACCGCGGGGGCTACCTAATGAGTACAGCGCTAGCCTGGCCACACAGTGAGACCTACTTAGAAGAGCCAAGATATCTACACTTAAAAGTGGACTAAAAGAGCCGAAAGAAATGACAGGACAGTCACAAGGCTCCTCTGGGCAACACGCAGAAGGAAAGCACAGCGACCACCTCTAAGGCTGGTGCTCTCCAAGCGCGCCACCCTGCTTCTCCTGAACACAGCACACACTCTCCTCATTCCAGACATTCTCCCTGATTTTATCTACCAGGAAAGTTCATATTGCTAAACCAGGCACACACAGAAGAGGAACAGTATGAGAAGAAGGAAGTCAAAACCAGAGCTAAGATTTACTTTGGGCCCTGAGACTGTTCTCTCTTTCTCTTCCAATGTCAATGTCAAATCTGTGTAACAAATATTGTAAGTCAAATTCAGTGCTGTTTTGAAAATAAGCAATTAAAAAACAACCAGTACTATCTACCAACATGAGGGCAGGTCCGGAGGCTGAAAAATTCCTGAGAGGTTTCTGTGCGAAGGTCACACAGCACTTACCAACTGGGATGTTGGAGGTGGTCACAGCAGTCGCGTGGGATGAATGGGAGGGCATTGTCATGGTAACAATTGTACTCGTGGGAGCTTGCGTGTGTGACACAGATCCTGAAATGAGGGAGAAAAGGAAATTCTTTAATAATGGGCTCTGCACATATTACAGATTTTGGGGGGTGGGTTGGTGGGTGGGGACAGGGTCTTGCTACTAGTTCAGGCTGGCCCTGAACTCACTATGTAGCTACCCCAGGCTGGCTTCAAACTTGCTATCTTCCTGCTTCAGCCTCCTGACTATTGAAATTACAGGTGTGTGCCACCACACTCAGCTTACTGATTCTGAAGTATTGGAAAAGCTCTTAAAAAAAAGGTAAGAGAATTTTTCTAGCCTGTTATTTTTCTCCAAAGGTAAGAAATGATGAATTAGTTCGTCACTTACCAGCTGTGGTTGCTGAAGGAAGGGTGTTGGTTGCCAGAATAGGTGCTACCGTTGCTGCAGCAACTGGTGTACCAGTACTGAAGATGGTTTTCTGCAGGGAGAACCCCACAACACAGTTATAAACCAGAACACTTCCCACTTCCTCTAGTCTAAGAGCAATCCCAGCCTTCACACTGCCATCTTTAGTACACTGTGCAGTTCGGGCTTCATCCCAGCGACTCTGGCTTACCTGAGCCATCGTATGAAGCTGCTGTTTTGGTGTCCCTAACGCAGGGTGAGATGGTAGTGTGATCCTCGTCGTGACATCCCGAGACTGGGCAGGACGCTGGATGCTAATTGCTGCAGATGGTGGATGCTGGATAGACAAAGTGGGCCGACTGAAAGGCACAAAGATACTATGTGACTTAGCTTGTCAACAGACTAGTGTAGGCAGGCAAGGCTGTTTACTGTCTTATGCTAGAACAGTCATAGAAATTGTATTTTCCATTGGTCTGTAAGACTCACAGTTAAACTGATACTTGGCTTTAGTCACACCAATGAAGTAAGTAGCCCATTGGGCTTTGCTCCTAAAACTGCCATCATTCTTACTGTAGAAATTATCAATATGTAGCCTGATGTGGTGGCTAACTCCTGTAATCCCAGCACTTGAAGGGGTGAGGCTAGAAGACTGCTATGAATTCATGAGTTCAAAGCTAGCCTGGAATATGTAAATGAGTAGAAGGTCAGCCTCCACTACATAGGGAGACCCTGTCTCAAAAAACCACCAAACAACGAAAACAAACAAAAAGTTTTAACAGCTAGAGATGTAGCTCACTATGAAAGCCCTGAATTCAATTCCCAGTAAAGCTGAGACAGAGGGAGGAAGACAGGGAAAGCAAGGCGGGGGGCGGGGGAGAGTAAGGAGAGCGATAGAGACAGAGACCCAGAGACAATCTCACTATGCCCCTAACATGGTCTCCAACTCCTAGGCTCAAGGGGTCCTCTTACCTAAGCTTCCCAAATTACCTGCTAAAACTGCAGGAGCATACCACAGTGCCCAGCTCATTCTCATTTCTAAAAAGAGAAATACAATTCAAATTTTGCTGAGACACATTAAATGTAGAGGGAGTGTTAATTGGTTACAAAACCTGTATGAAGGCGTTGACACCCTAAGGCAACAATGCTTATACCTGCACATGCTCTCTATCAGTTCTACAGTCTACCTACAGACACACTTGCACACATGTGCAGTGAGAGATGTGACAGTGCTCACTGTGCTATTATTTATGAAATCAGACAGAGGGCCAGGGAGATGGCTCAGCGGCAGAAGCGCCTGCCTGGCAAGCACAAGGTCCTGAACTCGATCCTCGGTACCAAACACAAAAGTAGATAGAGAGCACTTTACATCCATTTGTATAACATGTTGCTACACTGCTACTAAAAGAATGATGGAACCCTAGGACCTGAAATGAAAAACCTTTAAGTTTTTATTTATTGATTTATTTTGTATTTTGTGCAGGGTCTCCTTATGCAGCTCAAACTCGTAGTAATCCTGTTTTCAGCCTCTGCAGCACTGGGATTATAGTTGTACAATACCATGCCGGGAACCAGTCGCTGGCTCACCGCGCCCAGGAGTGGAGCTGGTGTGGCATGTGGTGCCAAAACCCTTGTCCCTGTGCTTGCCTAAGCAGATGCTTAGTCTGCTGAGCTATCTCAGCGGCTCCTAAGTTTTTTATAAACACACACACACACACACACACACCCACACCCCAAAGAAAAAAGGGATTCGTGAATTAAATATTCTTTTGGGTAAAAAGGATACAAATAAAAACTGCACTGGAATCTGACTATATTTGTATGAAGAAACACTGAGAGGATACCCCAAAGCCAGGAACAAGTTCCCTTAGAAAAGCAAAGGGCTCTCTGGGGGTCTCACAAAGACTATGTCAACAAGGCCTGAGCATGGGCCACCCATTTTCTGCATGCAGAAATGCACAGATGGTTGCCAAGGGACAAAACCATTGGATGCTGAGGGGTAGAGCACTTGTCCAACACGCATGGCAGTAAACTGACATACAGTAAAAGCCACAGTTGCCAGGCTTTTTTTTATCCCCCAAGTGTAATATGCCTATGTTTGTTTTTTTTTTTCTTTTTTTTTTGGGGGGGGGTACTGGGAATCGAACTCAGGACCTCACACTTGCCAGGCAGGCACTTAGGTCACTGAGCTATCTCCTTGGTCCCCAACGCGTATGTTCCCTAAGCTGTACTGAAACAACATTATTGTGTGAGTTGTGCCCTTCACAGCAGGATAGGAACTAATCTTGTGAAACCCAAAAGATGATCCTCCCACTGCTTCAACCTGCTGGGGGTGTTCCTCAACCATGAACCATGGAAGGAAGTGAGGTCTTGAGGGAGAGTGCTGGGGATTAAATCCAAGACTTTTTTTGCACTATGCTATATCCTAATCCCCTTGAGACAGGAGCCTGCTAAATTTCCCAGACTAGTCTCAAACTTGTAATCCTCCTGCCTCAGCCTCTGGAGTGCCGGGACTATCAGTATGTGCTACCATGCCTGGCTGTGAAGGTGAAGGTCAGAGGAAAGGTCTGAAGGACTGAAGAAAATCTGCCCTCTGGGGAAAAAATAAAATGGAAATTATAATTAGAAAAAAAAAAACAAGGAAGAGAAAATTAATAGGAACTTGAGAGATGAAGAATACAGGAGAAAAGAAATCACTATATACCTTTTCATGCTTCTATAGTTTGGTACATGATATAGACTAGGAAAGGGGCTGGGGGCCAGCGGTAGAGCACTTGTCTAAGGTGTGGGCCTCGAGTACGATCAGTTTTATAACAGTACAGCCTATACAACTGTTATGTTTTGTATCTAGGTGTCCCCCCAAAACCACATGCAGTCATTGGGGCGGCTTCAAGAGTCTGTGATTAGTTCATGACCCAATGTTGGGATTATGGGTGTGAATATTACACTCCTCCAGACAGATAATCTGCATTAGAATGTAAGGAGGGGAAAGAGGCTAGCTAGCTGCTGCCCCTCCCTTCACTCCTGGCTGTTTCCCAGCTGCCATGAACGGTTGTTCTCTGCCACGTGTCACTCTGCCTTGGAGCCAGCAAAGTATGGACTGAACCCTCCACTAACTGTGAGCTAAATAAACCTTTCCTTCCTTCATTTTGGGTGTGTCCGGTATTTTGTCCCAGCCATGACAGAGACTAACTGAGTCAACAACTATGTACAGTACGTAGTATTTGATAATAATTAGCCAGTGTTACTGGTCTACATATTTACTACACTATGCACTTCACCATTACTTTTGAGTGTCCTCCTACTGAGAAGTGCACCGTGAAACAGAACGTCATTTCATGCTGCGTATACTGCGTATGTTGGTTGTATCAAGAAGTCATCACATAGCCTGCTGCAAGCACACTGTAGGATGTTCGCACAAAGATGGAACAACCCATAAGCATTTCTCAGAACACACCCTCAGTGCTTAACAATGCATGGCGTGCACCACTGCAAACCTGTAACAGCGTATTCCCAAAGATCCGTCAGAACACACTGACAGGCTGGGGTTTAACGCAGCCAAAGCAACAGAGGAAAGCTCTATGCACTGATACGGAGTCTCCTCTGGAGTCTACTGTTAGGAGAGGAATCCAAGGTAAGAACCAGAAGATATGGTATGTCTTCCTCAAGAAAGGAACAGTATCAAGGAGATGTCACGTGTCTGAGTGTATGCATAGTTCGCAAAAAATAACTGAGGAGGATAAACTAGAGAATAAGCAGGTAACTACCAAAGGCAGACGGTAACGCAGGAGATGCCAGAGTCCATCTTTTAAGGTGACTTTGACTTTTTGAAAGGCAAATTTAGAGCCAGGTGTGGTAGTGTATGACTGTAATCCTCTCACTAGCAAGGCAAAGGCAGGAGGATCATTGCGAATTTGAGGCCAACCTGAGCACACAGTTCAAGACCAGTCTAAACTACATAGCAAAAGCCTATCTCATAAGACCACCTCTCCTCAAAAACTCAAAAGAAAACAAGAGGGAGCTGGAGAGATGGCTCAGTGGTCTAAAGCACCTACTTGGAACAAGCTTAGCAAAGCACAGGGACCGCGGTTCGATCCCCCAGCACTACATGCCAGCCAGCCCCGCCCCCTGGTGGGCTGAGCTGGCCACACACACACACACACACACACACACACACTAAATAAATGTAATAAATAAATAAATTTATTAAAATTTAAAAAAAAAGAAAACAAGACCAAAAAATCCCCCAACTACCCATCAACAGAAAAAATGACAAAACAAATTTACACAAACAACCCGAACTATATATTAAATTGTAATAAAGTAGAAAATACCCAAAAGTCAGTAGTAGGTTACATTACATATAAAAGGAAAAGAAAAAAAAAAAAGGAAAAGAACCCAGGACACACACCTGTAGGACAAAGGAGTGATTTTCCTTACTGTATAACTTTTCATGCTTTCGTGTTTTAGAATATGAATTATAAAAATGAAAATATTACATATCTCTGATGGGAAAGAATGGCTTTAAGTGATCTTTGAACACATTCTCACTCTGGTTAGTGGGACCTACTCTAGAAAACTGTGAGGTCAGTTCATTCATCAATCTGTAGGAAGGAAGGGGCTAATTTACAACCAAGGAGAACTTTTCATTGTTACTCTGGATTTTTTTGTACAGCATAAGATGAAACCAGTCAGGGGCCAGCCAGACAGCTCAGTGGACTAAGGTACCTGCTTAGCAGGACTCGGCAGCCAGGGTTCCATTCCCGCCCTGGCCTGCCCTGCCGGCCCTGCCCCTGGAACACCTTGAGAAGGTAAGATTGAGACTGGGAATGGTGGCGCGCCTGTAATCCCAGTGCTTGGGAGGCTGAAAACAGGAGGATCACTACGAGTGGGATCTACACAGTGAGCCCCTGTAAATCTTGTAGACCTTGTACTAAAAATACAAAAAAAAAAAAAAAAAAAAAAGAAAAGAAAAGATGAAACCAATCAGGTAGCTGTACTAATCCCTGAAAGGAACTAAGGCTTTCAGGGTTGCCTAGCTTACTCGGATCGGGCAGAGGCCGTCACTTCGGGGCTGCTTCTGGCCCCGGGCCCCCTCTCTGGCTCTTCGTGCCTTTTCCCTGCCACGCCCTTTGTCGTGACACCTTTTCCTTGCAGCTAGCTGACCATGAACTGGAGCCTCTGAAACTGTGGCCCAACACACATTTTTTTCTCTCAAGTTGTGCACATTAGGCATTTTGTCCTTGAAATGAAAAACTAATATGCAGGAAAAGCACAAATATAAAACCTAAGAATATGAGAAGAAGTATAAGACTAAAACTAGAAATCACAAAAAAAGCTGGGGTTCTTAAGAGTCAAAATTAGGGCAAATGTGAGTAGAAGAACGGGACTGTAATAGGCACAGACCATGGCAGGAGCCTCTCCTGCCAGAAAGCAAGGTCAGCTCTGTCCTCGCCTGCCCTCTTTAGGATGGCAAGGACATCAGCCTAGAAGCAACAAGCACCCTAGCACCGAGATAAGGGGCTCGAAGTACTCTTCTCCACCAGAAGAGAATAGGTCTTGGAGAAATGGCTGATTTCAAGATTAGAGAAGCAGGGAAAATAAGACAGTACAAAACACACACCATGACAAAAGTAGGGCTTCCCATTGGGCACAGCGGAGCATATCTGTACGCCCACCTACTTGGGAAGCCAGGCGAAAGGACAATAGTCTGAGGCCTGCCAGACCAATTTAGCCCTGTCCTGAAATAAAATATATATGAAGCCCTGTGTTTAATCCCAACACTGCCCCCTTGGAAAGTCAGCCAAAATTTGGGCAAATGGAGAAAAAGAAAGGAACTTTGTAATATCCATGGCACCACGGCAGTAGCTTCTTCTACCAGAAAACAAAGCCACAGATTAAGTTGCTTCAATACAAAGAGTTCTCAAATCTGTTTTTTTACTATATTCTCTGCCCTATCTTCTTCCTGCCTTTGCCCCACATTGAATCCAGAGCCTTCACAATGAACTAATCTCTGGCCCCCTTTTTACCTCTTTATTTGGAGACAAGGTCTCACTTAACTTGGTTATTCATTCAGGTTGGACTCAAATATGTAATCCTCCTACCTCAGACTTCCAGAGTCCTGGCACCTCAGGCATACACTATCATGCCTGACTCTCTTTGTTTTTTTGTTTTGTTTTGTTTTTAGTGGAGCTGGGGATTAACCTCAGAGGCCCTTGCCCTTGCCAGGGAAGCGCTTATTCCACTGAGCCATCTCCCCGGTCCCTCTCTTTATTTTAGTAACCTGAAAAGCAACTCTAAAGATAGAGACCAAATTTAGTAATTTGACATCTACAGAAAATAAGAAGCTGATTTTCAGTCACTGATCTTATGCTTATTTTCTGGTGTTCAGTTCTGTCCTTGCCTGACTTCTTCAGATAGAGTAAGAGGGCTGCAGGCAGAGACTACTAGTTTGGTATTTTCTCCTCCTCCCCTAAAACAGTACCAATGAAAACTAAAAACTAGTCTCCTTGGGCAAAACTAGTAAGACATGTGAAATCTCAACTGCTATGGTTTGTGTCTAGGTGTCTCCCCAAAGCCTCATGTAAGTCATGGGGTGGGCTTTTAGGGTTTGTGATTAACTCATGATCCATTGGGATTATGGGTGTGAGTGCTACACCCAGCCCGGGGCGGATCTCCTGAACGCAACTTAAAGAAGACAGACTTGCTCTCTAGCCGCTGGCGGTGCTGCTACTCCTATTTGCTCTCACTCTTGCTCTTTGCTGCCACCACGGGCTGCCCTCCGCCATGTGCTACTCTGCCTTGGAGCCAGCTGAGTATGAACTGAAATCTCCACTGTGAGCTAAATAAACCTTTTCTTCCTTCAGTTGGCACTGTGTTTGGTATTTTGACCCAGCAGAGAGAGAAGAGTAACTGAGACATCAACTCATAGAAGAAGTAGCAGAAACAGCAAAGGAAGTAGTAACTACATAGCCTCGTAGGAGCCAATGGACAGAGAACTTCCAGATTTGATTTCAGGAGTCAAGCTCAGCGAAGTGTAACTTTCCAGGTGGAAAGCACACTTGTGAGGCTAAGGACACGCATCAAATCAGGGACTGCACAGATACAGAACCACAGAGGGCGCTGCGTGGTGAGAGCCAGGAAGAGAGGGGCTTTGCCACTGAAGGAGCTATCCACAGGGGCTTTGGAGCAGTAGTGCCTCTGAAAATTCCAAACACGGCACATGGAGTTATTCAGCAAGCAGCTTCTAGTCCAGTATATAACCCAGGCTATTATACCCATAATCTCAGATTACACAAAGTCCAATCAAAGATGAGAACTTTTTTTTTTTTGCAGAACCAGGGATTGAACTCAGGCCCTTGCGCTTGCCAGGGAAGTGCTTAATCCACTGAGCCATCTCCCCAGCCCCAGAGATGAGAACTTATAAAGGAACCAAGAGAAGATCTATTTAAAGAAAATACAAGTAAAAAGGAGGAAAGGAACTAGGGAAACACACTTGAAGAGTCTCATCAGGTTGATAAATATACTGCTTCTATGAAATCAAAATACAAAGAAAACATACTGGAAGTAAGGGAAAAGATAAATGAGCAGGCACAAGAAAAATAATAGACGATTATTTATCAATTTCAGGAATGAAGGCAACGTGAAGAGTAAAATAGGAGTGCGGAAAAGGCCAAATGGAAGGAGAGAATCTAAAGAGAAAACAGTGAAAAGGATTAGTAAGGAAGTCATGCAAAAGATTTAACATATTAAAATTAGGTATCTCCCAATAATATGAGATAAAATACAAAAAACTAAACAAACAAACAAACAAACAAACAACTAGAGTTCAAGGAAACTTTTCCTACAGTTTTACGCTACACATCAAAAGCATAACACATTTCAAAACAAGCTGCATGTCAAGGTGAAGGAAGTCACTACAAAATATATCCTGGTAATGTAGGAGCCAATGGACAGAGAACTTCCAGATTTGATTTCAGGAGTCAAGCTCAGCGAAGTGTAACTTTCCAAGTGGAAAGCACACTTGTGAGGCTAAGGACACGCATCAAATCAGGGACTGCACAGATACAGAACCACAGAGGGCGCTGCGTGGTGAGAGCCAGGAAGAGAGGGGCTTTGCCACTGAAGGAGCTATCCACAGCTAATGTTGCTAAATTTAAAGATAAAGACTGGGGCAATTAAGAAAGATGAAGGTTTTTTTAGGAGTTAAAAAAATAAACCAAGCTAAGGTGGGTGTGGTGGCATACACCTGCAATCCCAGCACTTGGGAGGCTGAGGCAGGCACTCGCTTTCCCCAAAATCAGAATTGCAGTATTGCTAACAAAAAGCCTGTGCAATTAACCTGCATTAACCAGATTCGGTCTACACAGGGCTCTGCACATCTTTAAACTGCACTATCTTCTCATCCTACTTCTCTCCAAGGCTCTTTTTTTTAAATCATTTTTAAATTTAAGTGTTTGGTACAGGGTCTCACTACGCAGCTTGGACTCGCAGTGATCCTCTTTTCGGCCTCCCCAGGGCTAGGATTACAGGCATGTGCCACCATGCCTATGCTCAGCGTGCCTAGGGCCAGCGCGGCATGTGGTACTGGGTACCGAACCCTGGTCCCTGTGCTTGCCTAAGCAGGTGCTCAGTCTGCTGAGCTATTTTGCCAGCCCTAAGAACTATGTATTTACTATATGTACAGCTCTTAAAAATAAAATCTGAGGGTAGGACTTTCTCTGCATGCTGACTGCTTTATTCCATGTACAGAGAATAAAAAGTACTTAAAAAATGAGTCAATGGGGGAGGCAAGTACTAACAAAGGGAGGAGGGAGTTGGCTCTATGTCCACACCCCCACTTACCTCAGAGCTGAATCAGTAGCATGTGCTGCTGTCGTAGTGATGACTGGGGACTGAGCTCTGGTGGCTGAGACCGTTGCTACCACAGCAGGTGAGATGGTATTGGAGGTGGTCACAGGTGGACGAGACTACCAACAGGACAGAAAGTTCAATAAAACAAAAGGAAAACTAAAATGCAATAAGCAAGACACTGAAAGTACAATTTGAAACTTGGACCTCCAAATTCAGTATGTTTGTCTCATAATGAAAATAAAGTCTCACCATTCTGACTAGGCTTCTTTAGACATAATTTTTTAAGACTAAAAGTTGGAATTATCAAAAACCCTAATTTGGCTGCACAGTATTAGAGACCCTTTTCCTTTCCAAACAAACAAGACTGAGGTCAAAATAATCCCATTCTTACTGAAAACTGGAATTTAACCCTTTAGACTTGGTGTTCCCTTTGTCTGCCATGGGTTCTGGTGTAGGTATTTTATGCTCTCATAGCCTCTGGGCAGAGCTGTTCGCTTCTGGGTAGAACTTTGGCTCTAAGGCCAATCTAGCATGCAAAAGGACAACACTACCCTGTGCTGACTGGAGTCACAGTACACTGTGGTGGTTGCTACACTGCGTCAACTTGAGATGTCTGGAAGCTTCGCCGGATCAGCTTGGTGATTCCACGCTCTGGGGTGTAGGGTTCCACCCTAGAGTGACTCAGCACACAAAGGGTATACAAAGGGGTTGAGGAAGGCTTCCGGGCGCCACTTCCTCGGAGGATCTTGATCTTCACAGCCACCACTTCAGAGGAGCTCTGATCTTCACAGCCCCTGCCACTTCCTTGGAGGAGCACTGGTCTTCGCAGTCCGCATACAAGGGAGAAAGGCTTGAAAGACATCGCAGCTGCTGCTCCTCTGCTCTTCATTGTTTTCTGCCGCCATGAACTGCTGCCGTTTGCCTTGGAGCAAGACAAGTATGGACGGAAACCTCCACAAACTGTGAGTGAAATAAACCTTTCCTTCCTTAATTTTGGGTGTATTTTGTCCCAGCAATGAATGAAAAGTAACTGAGACAATGTGCAAAGGAAAAAAGGAACAGGGGTTTGCTCGAGATGCTTTCTCCATCTTTTCACGTGGATATATAACCCTAGTCCTTACCACTACATCTTTGTGTATCTGACAAACAGGCTCCAGACAGGGCTTTCCTTGCTTGTCCGCCCTGAATCTGAAGATCTTGATTCGGCCCTCTTTTTAGGCCTTGGTACATACACGGCTGTGCAGAGCAAACTCTCTACTCGTTACGCTTCTTTCACCCAGGACCTCCTGCTCTTCTCCTGCGCAGCTCTTGTCTCACACTGCTGCTACTGCTCCGCCTCCTCACCAGTTAGCTCTGCATCTTGGCGCTCACCCTTATCCAACCAATCAGATATTCTGTGTGGATTCCTGGAGGCCTAACTACCCACCAACTATGTTTTGTTGGCCACCCAAGATTTTTTTTTTTTAAACTCATTTCTCATTTATTTATAGTCTCAACTTCTTTACGTTAAAATGAACAGCTTACAAAAGCACATTGCGTGCCAGGGAGATAGCTTGGCAGTCTAAGCGCCTGCTTAGGCAAGCGCAAGGACCCAGTTTGATCCCCAGTACCACACGCCGTGCCCGCCCTGTGTGGAACAGACCCCTGAAACCCTGTGTGGTGGTGCACGCTTGTAATCCCAGTGCTGGGGAGGCTGAAACAGGAGGATCATTACAAGTCTGAGCTTCACAGGGAGACCCTGTACCAAATAAATAAATAAATAATACTTTTTAGAGGTAGCTGAGCAGTGTATATGAGGTTCTGAGTTCGAAGACCTTTTGCTTTAATCTGAAAGCCAATCAGGACGTCTCCTTAGTATCTTAAACATCGCTGTTCCATGTTGTATGACTGATCCCCAAAGGCATTTGGATTTTCATTTCCTTATGTAATTCAGCTTGATAATCTTTCAGGTTTTTTAAAAAAAATACTAGTTTTAAAAAATTGCAGTTGCTTTCTACTGTCTAGAAAATCAAATTTATACTCCATACGTTAGTGGCCTGAATTGACAGATATACTACTCCTACACTGTATGCCTTAGCAGCACTGACGCTACAGATTTCATTAGTGGAAAAAAAGGTGAAAGGTACACACTATCCTCCTGGAAAAGCATGTGTATCTACATAAGAACATATATAAAATTTTTAGGACTTCATGTACCCCTCTCCAAATTAAAATCTGCCTCCTCCCAAGTGCTGGGATTATACATGTGCACCACCATACCTGGCTCCCTCCTGATTCTAATCAAACTTCACTATATACTATCTATACCCACTACTCGCTTTCTAGCTATTATTTCCCCTCCACCTCTCTGATTCCTCATTACCACTCCCATCTTAACAAAAACCCTTCCCTTATTTCCTATCACCTACATTTCCACGGCCCATGGCCCACTATATATCTGTCCAAATTTCCTTAAGTCAGGTCACTGAGGTCTGCCCTGGAGAGTGAATCACCGCCACCAGGGACACAACACTTGCTGAGTACCCACAGCCTGACATGCCTGGATTGGTTGGTGAATGATGTGCTGTACTGCTGGTTGTGCTGTGGCAGCATTTGGCAACTGTGAGGTCGGCCTCAGGACTGTGGTTACTTTAGAACTGGACATCACAGCAGCAGCAGCTGCACCTGAAAAAAATTGGTTTTGTTAGCATGGCTTACAGAGTCATACTTTAAATAGATGCACTTATATTCCCCAGGGAAATAATGATTTCTAAAACTCAGATAGTGTGTTGGCATTCTGCTGAAGTGTGCTACTTATACTCCCACTATTTCACAAAGGAAAGTAAGAAAAGGCTGGGCATGGTGGTGTATCTATTCAGGGAGCTGAGACAGTGTGATCTCACTTGGCTTCAGGAGTTCAGGAAAAGGAAAAAAAATTAAGAACATGCATACTGAAGACTTGGGATTTATTTAATAAGATTAATGTTTCATATTGTTTCTTCAAGAACATTCTTAAATTAAACTAGCTATTGCTTTGCTTTACTTCTTTATTTTTTATTGCAAGTAACAAGCACAATAAAGAGCAGTGTGGTGTTGCTGCCGGGATGCCGAGGGTCCAGCACTTTAAACACCAGCAGTGACACTTGGCCTCACCTGACGCTGGCTTTATTGCTCTACAGCAGATGTCAACGTTGAGAAAAAGAAAGGGGCGTCTTAGTATCTTCATGAAAATAGCCGGTGCCACAGACTCCCCGAAGGGCTTGCGAACTACAAGTTGGGCACCATGGAGCTAGGCTATAACTGAACGAATCTGATTTTGTATTTGCTAAATTGATTCTGCCAACAATCAACTGTTTCACACTCAAGAGAAGGTAACAATTGTTTGTCAAAACTCATTTATTACAACTTGTAAGAACTCAATTATAAATTATTGCTATATAAATACTTTTACTGCTATGTATATTTTTAAAAAACTTAGTATTATCAGTAAATCTAAAAAAAGTTCAGAGGGCTGGAGAGATGGCTCAGTGGTCTAAAGCACCTACTTAGAACAAGCTTAGCAAAGCACAGGGACTGCAGTTCCATCCCCCAGCACCACATGCCAGCTAGTCCTGCCCCCTGGTGGGCTGAGCTGGCCACACACACACACACACACACACACACACACATAAATAAATAAATAAATAAAATTTATTAAAAAAGTTCAGTACTAGGCTGGGGTATAAATCAGAGGTAGAGCACTTGCTGACTACATGCAAGGCCCTGGGTTCATTCCCAGCACACACACACACACACACACACACACACACAGAGAGAGAGAGAGAGAGAGAGAGAGAGAGAGAGAGAGAGAGAAATACAATTAGTATTTCTGACTTATTTATTAAAACCAAAGTTCATGTTTAGAATATGATAGCCTTGAGGAGTTCCTCTGAAGAACAATGTTTTTAGAACACACTAAGAATTTTTTTTTCCATAATTTTACTGATAAACAAATAGCAATGAGACAGTTTCAAATCAAATTGGTAGGACAGTTTCAACACACTAAGAATTTGACTTTAAGTTTTCACATATGCCAGTTAATGCAATCTGAGAAGCACATATTAGATCGTATTAAAAACACGTACTGCATTTACTTCTACTGTCTTGCAACTTTAATAAGCTGACCTTCAATACACTCTATGTTACATCTTTTACTAAGCACAGATGTGCCATTGTAGAGTATGAATAAAACATGAAATTTTTTGTTTGTTTGTTTTTTTAAAGTTTTTCTATGGAGCGCAGGCTGGCCTAGAACCTGTGGCAATCCCCACGTGCTCGGATTACAGGCGCACACACCACTGCACCCAGCAAAGCATAGCATCTCTACCTCGAGGTAAATGAGAAGCTCCAATGTGAAGAGGGGGTCCAGGAGCATTGCTGCGGATAATGGACATCTGTACATTTGTGGTCATGATATGATGCAAGTTACTGGGATGGCCCTGGAAGAAACAGATACAAAGTCACCTTTACATCTCCTCTTAGTAGGATCTCCCAAGGGAAACAGCTGAGGACATTTAGCGTTCCTGTTTTATACACTTCAGGTATATCACAAGTCAGTGTGAGGAGCCTTGAAATGCTTCAGGCCTAGCTAAATACTAGATTCTAGGAAGATATATTTGACTCTACTTTCAGAAGCTTTGATCTCCAATATTAGCCCTTCACACTCGTTTTCTCTTCCCTGTTTTTCCCTAGTTCCTTCATACATCTATGATGCATCGTTTTTTATGCTGTTGAAGAATTCTGAATACAAGTACACCCTTATGGGTTGGTTCTTCAGCTCACTCGTTGAATGTCCCAAACCTCTGTCATCACCGCTTCTCGGGTAGAGTCCTGGATTTCCAGGAGTACTCAGTGATATGACATAAAGAACAAAATCTGGGATTTTTAGGACACTGATTTTTCTTAATCTTTTATTTATTTGGTACAGGGTCTCACTACACAGCTCAGACTTGCAGTGATCCTTCTATCTCAGCTGCCCCAGTGCTGGGATCACAGATGTGTGCCACCAAGCCTGGTTTTGGTGACCGGCATGGCACAGGGTTCCATGGTCGGCATGGCATGCAGTAGCAGGGATCAAACCTGGGTCCATGTGCTTGCCAGGCAGGCACTTAGACCACTGAGCTATCTCCCCAGTCCCTGCACACTGATTTTTCTTGATAATAAGAGTTGAAATTAATTTTTTTTCCATAGGTGATTTACAGCATTTAAAAGACAAATACACTTGAACAAACAGAATTGTAAAGTTAAAAAAAGAAAAAGGAGACTTCAAAATAAATATTTAGCTGGATATGGTGGTAAAAACCTGTAACTCCAGCACTCAGAAGGCTGAGGCAGAAGGATCACTGCGAATTCGAGATCAGCCTGGCCTACAAAGCTCAATGCCAACCTGAATTGCACAGTGAGACCCTGTCTCAAAAAGAAAATAAATTTACAACTATAGGGGTGTTTTAGGGAACATATCAGCATCTGAAGAGGCGCATATCTGCAGTCCTCCAAGAAAACAGAGGAGCACTGCCCAACGCTAGTGCTAGGAGGCCATCCCACCCCCTCAGAGTTATTTTCATACAACCAAGGACAAAATGGACTCTGACTCCTCACAGACACAGACTGACATAACTCAATTTGTACCCCATACTGAGGGTAATGCCCACCATACAGTAGATGCTTATGTGGCTGCTTCTCCAAAGTATCTTTCTCAAACTTGCTACATTGTCCTTGCAGATATCCATGTATGTGTAATTTTTAGTTTAGGACATTGCTTGATGTATGCATTCAAAATATAATGATCAACAATTTACTTTGAAAGTCAGCAAATTAGGAAAAATACCTGTTGTCCACTGATCGTTGCCACAGGAATGGCTGAAGCTTGAGGGATGCTACTCTCCATGGTAACAGTAACCTGTCCTGGAACCTTGGGTGGAAGTGACAAGGTAGAAGGTGGAGCAGGAGCAATGGGACGGCTAGGCATAGTGGGCTTCGGGGGCGGCTGTGAACAGAAAACCACATAACACATATCAATAGCTTATTCTAATAACCCATTTTGTTTTAGAGTTAAAAAGTATACAAAGTATGGTATATTTGTCAGCATCATAGTTTTTCCACTGAAGCACTAACATTTTCAGTTTACAGAGGAGGAAATGTACAAACCAAGGCTAAGTGACTTCTCAGAGCCACGGAGACAGTTAGAAATAGAACTGGGATTAAAGCCCAGAACTGTATGGCCAAAAGCCCATGCTTTCTTCTACACAATGCTTCCTCCCAAGTATGTGCAGAAGTAAATAAAACTCCCAGTAACTGAAAAATAATCCAAGGGTAATACACAGGAGGTATGTCCAGATACCCCCACATTTCAGCTAAAACAAGAAGTGTTATTCCACATTAGTGTACCCATAAGCTGAGTAACACCAACGTCAAAATGGCTAACAGAGTCTATGATGTCAACTCACCATCAGTATAAGTCTAGGTACTGCAGAAGAGCAAAGCTCTGAGTTAAAAAAGAACTAAACTGACAGACCAAAAAGAAAAGATGAAGTACGAGGCTAAGATACAGCCTATGAATTTGTAAAAATCATGTCTCTTGCTAGGGTTCACTGTAAAACCTGAAACCTCTCCATTACCTTCATAAGTCCCTCCGAAAATGAAAGTGGCACTGCTGGCGTCAGGTGTGCTGGTGGGGCTGTCACCGCGACAGGGGTGGCTGATGCGACGGCATGATGCGTGGACAACATCTGCACTTGTGGGTAGGGCCTTACCACAACAGGCTCTTGCTTCTCCTCCCGGGCCTGGAGGGAGCTGCTGGAACCCATGTGCTCCCTGGCACTGACTTCAGGCTCTCGACCGGATTCATCATTGACTAGCAAGGACAGCAGGGTGAGGAGATACATCCCAGAGATACATCTCAGTTCCCCACTAAGTTGACACACTGCACAGGTGAGAGTGGCACCTACAGGATTTATTCTGGATATTGTAGCCTTCCCACCCTATGAACAAAGAGCCCGATGGCCATTTAAAATAAGCTCAGGGGGCCTGCCCATTAGCTCATGGGCAAAGCAGCCAGGCTCAGGATTCTACGGTTCGATTCCCAGATCCTCACGCCTTACCAGACCTGCCCTTAAGGCATCCTGAGCCCGCCCCAAAAAAAAATCGTTCTGAACTCTTGGGCCAGGGAGATGGCTCAGTAGAATAAGTGCTTGCCTGGCAAGCGCAAGGGCCTGAGTTCAATCCCCGGTTCCACCAAAACAAACAAAAAAAATAAATAAAATAAAATAAAATAAAAATAAAGTAAGCTCAAAGACTTTAAAGTGGATTATGGGGCATTAGACAATTTCATTTAAAAAACAATTTTTTAAATAAACCTAACATTAAAAGGTTATACTTAGTAGATCTACTAACTCTAGGAACACGTAATTTTCCAAGCCTGAGGGACAGAGACAAGAGAAATAATTTTTACTGTATACTTCTTGTTTAAAGAATGGTGCTAGGGGCTGGAGAGATGGCTCAGTGGTCTAAAGCACCTACTTAGAACAAGCTTAGCAAAGCATCAAGGACCGCGGTTCGATCCCCCAGCACCACATGCCAGCCAGCCCC